CAATGGAATCTTGTATCTGGGCTGGCGATAGTGACATCTGAGGCGCTGCTTGCTGACTTCTAACACCAATCCAGAACAGCACTGTGAGGCAAGATATGGCCAACCGGTCAAATACTTCCCATAAATCCGCTGCAGACATAGCCGCCGCAACCACAATGCCTTATAAGTGGCCTGTACTTCCACAAATGCTCCTTTAAAAGGCACCAGGGTCTAGCCCCATAACCCTGCAGGACACAGCATAGTGTCCAAGCTGAACTAGACCAATTATTAGAAAGCTGACTGGTGCGGAAATGAGATATTCGGTGTCTGGTGTAGTTTGCGGGTGGTGCAGCCAAGCCATAATATCGAATCCTTTGCTGAACAGCCTGCCAGCACTAGGGTTGTTGGCAAGTTCTCGAAACAGGTTTCCGGACCTTGATATAAGAGTTCTGTGCAGCCGAGTAGCGTAGCAGTGCAGACGGTATGGCAGCCGCCATGATGCCGAGAGAGAGCCATAGGAAATCGAGAAGGGAGTTAGTGACTCGGGTATTTGGGCTGTTAATAACATTGTGAAGAAGTCACTATCGAACACTGTGTCCTCCAGCTAACTTGCTTCTTCTGGCTGGATATTGACTGGAGAGGAGCAAGAAACGTAAGAACAGCGGAGAAGAAACTAAGGAAGCGAGAGGAAGAGGCTTTGAAAGATAGATATTTTCTAGACAAGCCTTCGAAAAGAAAGATGTGCGGATGGCTTCCACTAAGTTCGTCTGTCATAACCGCACTGTTTTCCACAGAACCGCATAGTCGGGATGCCAAGAATCACGAAAAGAGATGCAGGCAGTCGCTGACACAATATTTCTGGCAGAACATAATACAAGGACTGTTCTGAAAGGTCAGCGTGATTCGGGTATGTCAACATAGCCCTGTAGGCTACTCCCGTTTTAGTCTAGAATCTCTCGTCAAGTGTCTAATATCACGTAATGAATTAGCACACTTCAGAATATCCGTGCCAAGGCGTAGCTTAGTAATAAGCTACGTCAGCTGCGCTGACACTCGCCGCAGGCGAGTGCCGACCCTCAGGCCCACTCACACAGCAGACCCGCACAGTACACATGGGGCCAGACACGGACTCGACAGTCTACGCTGCCGAGCTACAAGGCATCAGCCTCGCACTGCAAATAGCACAAGAGTACGCAGAGCGAG